GTTTTTGTTTATAGATTAATAGACATTGTTGTTGACTGTTTTAGTTGACTTTGATGAGGGTAGGAAAAACCAAAAAAAATTAAATATAATGACCAATATAGAAAAATTATAGCAAAAGAAGAACATGAAAAATGTAGATGTAACATCCCAAAAATACAACCCAAAATTTTTGTTTTAAACATTACTAAAACCATGAAATTAATCATTATATAATAAAACCACGAATCACATGTCTCAAATGTAAAAGTGAATGTATCAAATCAACTGATGTCAAAACATATCAAAACATCTGAATAAAAACTCCCAGGATAAACTGAAGTTGTGGTGTGTGCCATGCCATCATCCTGAGCTCTTCCCTTTACTTGCGGAAGTACCTGAAATTGTAAGCACAAAGCTTAGTGAGCTCCCCCAATCTACCACATACCATGCAATAACATATAAAGCAACTACTGGGCCTTGCCCACTGCATCGGACCGTAGTCCAGAACTAACTAGGGCCTTACCCTCTACATCGGACTGTAGTCCGGAAACTACATCGAACTGAAGTCCGGAACTAACCAGGGCCTTGCCCTATGCATTGGACCGAAGTTCGGAAACTTGAACTACCACTCTCAGCTGGAGTATCTGCAATGAAATCGGAGTTGCCTTAACCCCTATATGGGGGCAATTCGCTCTGATGTGTCCAGGCTGATGACAACGATGACACAACTCTTCCTCCAACGTGCATTCTTGATGCTTGTGACCCTTCCACCCGTACCTTCCGCACTTAGACCTGCTACGAACATCTTTTTGTACCACTTCGCCCTTTGGGTTTTTGACTCCTGATACAGTCGAACTTAACTGCTCAGTTGGTTGACTCAAACCATGTTCCCACTTCCTCTTTCCTAGGTGCACATCTAACCTAATCTCTTGCTTCCGAGTTACCCCGACTACCCCACCAACGGCCTACACACTCGCTGTCTGATGCTGAAACCTAGTGGTTATCCTGCCGGTAACACGCTTAATAATGTCAGGTAACTCCTCGTGCACGACCCGCGAAACCTCCACAACAATCCAATCCTGAAGTGAACTCTCCTGGATACAAGGTGCGTAACCCACCTCTGATCCCCGATGACAAGACATGATAATAGGAACCTCCTTTCTGATGGATCCCGAAGATCCATAAACATTGGGCCCTAGAGGAACCCCAAACATGGTCGTCATCTTAACACGAAAGGCTCCCAGTCTCTCATCTAAAGTCTCCAATATACCCTCCTTGACCGTACCAAAGATCACAGGAGTCTGATCTAGGATATTGCATGTAATCTCTGCTCATAATAACTCTCTCATCTACTCCCTGAGCTGCTCGACTCCTGAACATGAGCCTGACTCCTCACTAGCTCCTGAATTGCCCACTGGCCTACCTCGTATAGTCACCATACTGCATGAGTCATAACATAACTATCATCAAAATACTCATCACTACTGAGGGATCACACACTCACTACAAGTTCCCCGGTTTTGTCTTAGCCCTTCTCGAATCGAGTACGGATCCTCTGCTTTCAGTAGTATGGGCCCATACTACCTTCCACATCTATCCATACTTTCCTCGAGAATTGCCTTGACTCTACCAAGTCTCTATCACTACTATTATTTCTACCAGCACTACTCTCATCCTAGGCTTGCCCTAGGGTAACCTCCAACCCGCACCCAATCCTCAGCTACTGAAGGTATCTTTGTAATGCCAATCAGCCACTACCTGAATACCATCACATCTGATGAGGCTAAGATAATCCTTCGAGTAAAGGACTCGTCCCTACAACGGTTAGACTCATACAAGAGCTGCGCAATAGGGACAAATTCAGCACTCTAAGATTATTCAACCCTGATCACATGTGACTTGACGTATTCACCTAATGGATAACTCTCATCACTCAAAGTCCCACTAAGCACAAAACAAGCAACATTCAGACAAAGGGGAAATCTAACCTAAGCAATTCTATTCAAACAAGAATCTGTACTAGCATACGATTCTAAGCTCACACTATCATGCATAACCTAAACAAGCTATCCTACTACTATCTACTTGATACTAGCATGCAATGCTCATAAAGCTGAAACACATATAGCAGGCACATAAGGCATCCTTCCTAGATCCTTAGTCCTATTCTAGCATGCTGTTTTACTGAAACTGATAATCATAACATAAACTTGTATTGGTAATTTGGGAGTACTTACTTGAGCTCGGCTGATCGCATGCACCACAGCCTTTTCTCTTTTTCAAAAACTCTTCTATTTTTAAGTTTATTTTTTATAAATTTCTTTCGAAAGTGTTTTTCTTTTGAAAACCTCATACCATTTCCTTAGTTTGAGTTCAGACACACCCGAAAGTGTGTCCAGATCCCTCAAACCAAGGCTCTGATACCAACTTGTAACATCCTAAAAATACAACCCAAAATTTTTTGTTTTAAACATTACTAAAACCTTGAAATTAATCATCATATAATAAAAACACAAATCATATGTCTCAAATGTAAAAGTGAATGTATCAAATCAACTGATGTCAAAACATATCAAAACATCTGAATAAAAACTCCCAGGATAAACTGAAGTTGTGGTGTGTGCCATGCCATCATCCCGAGCTCTTCCCTTTACTTGCGGAAGTACCTGAAACCAAAAACTAAAACTGTAAGCACAAAGCTTAGTGAGCTCCCCCAATCTACCACATACCTAACATATAAAGATACTACTGGGCCTTGCCCACTGCATCAAACCGAAGTCCGGAAACTGCATCGGACCGAAGTCCGGAACTAACTTGGGCCTTACCCTCTGCATCAGACCGAAGTCCAGAAACTGCATGGGACCGAAGTCCGCAACTATCCAGGGCCTTGTCCTCTGCATCGAACCGAAGTCCGGAACAGACTAAGCATAGCATAGCATAATCATAATTACTAGCATAAACACATATATTGCATACTACATCAGTCGAAAGTCCGGAACACATAACACAAAGACATCAAACACACTGACCTACTGCATTGGACTGAAGTCCGGAACTACTGCTAACTAAACAGTACGAAATTGTGATCATAGACCCGTTCCTACTGGAAGTAAAACTCACCTCGTAATGCTGGCTGCTGAGATACTAAATCTCAAACTATCAGACTGCTGCTGCGAAACTCCCCGACTACAAATCCCATAACCACTAAATCAAATACTGATAACTAATCTCAGGGTAAAATGACTATTTTACCCCTGGTCGAATTCAACATCCTAGTAAAAGTCAACTTCCTGGTCAAAGACAACTTTCAGTTGATCGGACTCGCCGAGATGGGCTGCTAACTCGTCGAGTCCCTATCATCCTTTCTAATCCTCTACCTGCTTCTACTCGTCGAGTTTGCTAAAGACTCGACGAGTTCTTCTTCGATACTAACATCAAATCTAACTTCATCTGACTCACCGAGTTGTATGAACAACTCGTCGAGTTCTCCTTCATCATATGAACACGTCCAGTCTGTGACTCACCGAGTTGTATGAACAACTCGTCGAGTCTGTTCTTGAGGGTAAGAAGATTGCCTTGGACTCGCCGAGTGTGTTCTAACACACGTCGAGTCCCATGGTTTCCAGATTATGGCTATGCCTTAATACGTCGAATCACTCCTCTGGACTTGCCTAAATCCTTGTTATCACTCAGTTGGGCTCCTTTGAACCACAACAGATTGGGGACTCAAGCCCCGGACTTGCCGACTTCCAAGAACAACTCGTCGAGTCGCCTATTGTCCAAGTCCATAACTCGATTCTTGGTGTACAACTCTCATCCAAAAGGTAGATCTAGGCTCCTAAAGTTGATCTAGCACATAAAGTTATGAACTTTAAGTGCATGCATGGAAGTATAAGCTTTAAGGACCCGAAATAAGGTGAAAAGGGTTGCATGGGCTATTATGGCCATAAATCTTGCATCTTTATGCCATGAACTCGGTTCTAGAGTCTAGATCTGAAGGTGAATCGACTTGGGACATCCAAGTCTTAAGGATCAAGCTTATTGACCCCAAGACTCCATAAAGGGGCAAAGGAGAAAATCTATAAAACCACAAGTCAAGTTTTGAGCTTGATTGCCTGAAAGTGAGGAGAAACTGATGTTGCTCCTGGATCTAGCTCTTCTCCCTTGATCCTTCTTCTTCCAACTCTTCTACTAGATAGACAATGCATCAAAAACCCTCAAAATCACTAAGAAAGCTCAAATCAATCAATAAGGGGATTAAGGTTTCGAAAGAGATGCTCTGGGGGTGATGGAGGCTGGACTTGAAGCTCATAATGTTGTGTAAATAGGGTGCAAACCCTTTAATTAGGGTTTCATCCAGACATGCCTACTCATCGAGTCCAAGCGCGGACTCAGCGAGTAGGTCACTTAAAACCGCGTCCCAACCTCGCGTATACTTGACGAGTTAGGGCTGCTACTCGTCGAGTCACTAATACCAATAGTATAAACGTAGGTCAAATGCATACCAGAAACGGGGTGTTACAGTAGAAAGTACAAGGGTGAAAAACCCGATTTTTTCCCTGGACCGTTTTTTTAATGAAAAAATATAAAAGTTTTGACTACAATGATCAAAAGTGTCTAAATGGCTAAAGAATTAAAGGGGTAGGAATTATCAAGTTTTTAGAAAAGATATCCAAATTGTCAAACCGTTAAAGTTTTGTGGCTAAACTATAAATATTAAAAGTTCCTAAAAAATATAAAATTTTTGATTCTAAGGACCAAAAGTATTAAAATAACTAAAGAATAAATACCAAGAAAAAACCATCTAAATTTATTATTCATAACTTAGAAGTTTTTTAATATATATATATATAATTGGGGAAAGAGAATATGATTTATTTTCGAAAATAATTTACAAAACAATCTACTCTACTATTACACTATTCACGTCAAACAAGACTTAAACCCTCAAAACTTATTTACCGAATACAAATGTAATGGTGACCCAAGAAACATGGTCCTGGCAATTTAATATAGATGTAGCTGCTTTTGCATATATAACTTTGAATTTTTTTTTTTTTTTTCTTAATTGGCAGCGCTGCAGATAGTCCTTATCACCCCGTTTGCACCTGTACGGGGATCAATTTCTCCCATCCTAACCATGGCTGCTGCAAAATCAGATGCAAACCTTGAAGGACTGTTGCTGTACTCTAATACGATCCTATCACTTGAGCCTCCATTAAAGAGCACCTGATCCGATTGAAGAAGACCTCTCCTCTGTACTAGATTTCTGAAGTAGTTGTTATCAAATGAATTTGGTGTCACCAAATCAAGAGGTGCCATGTTATCATCTCCTTCTCCTCTAGTCAAAGGGCAGTTGCGCCTACGTGTGGTAGCAAAGTTAGCATCTATGTCCGACCCATTGCCATGTATCCTGCCTCGAAATGCAACACACCGTGATTGCCCAATAGTATGAGCGCCTGATACGAAAAATATTGTTCACGAGTTTCAAAATTTGAGAAAGATAAATGTCGGTGATACCATGCATGCAGCGACATATATATGTAAAGGGTAAAGATTATAAGTTCTAACCGGATAAAGCAACCATGTCTCTTTCACTCAGACCCTTCACTTCAAAATCCGAAATGAGTGACTGTAGATCCTGATCAGCTCTTGGAAGATCGCTATCGGCTTGACTTGGATATGCAGCAGTAGAATCTCTTCTACCAAGACCTACTGACCATGATGGACCACCCACCTGCGTGTTTTTAAATTATCGATAAGTAAAAAGATGCAGATTCTATCTTTATTTTATGAAAATATATTTAAGCCGTCAATTACCGCAACAGAAGCATCACGCACTGCAACAGCGAGTATATCAGCACAGGAAACGATGCCGGGACATATATTCTCCACACCAGATTTTGCTGCATCTATAACTTCGTATCCTCCAACCCCAACATTGGAAAATGTCGTCCTCTCAGTTGTGGGTGTGTCGTTTAGTAAAATAGATGCATCGCAACCCTACAAATTTAGCCAGTATGAAGTTCTGGTGTGTTAGCTACTAGCTATATGTCAAAAAACACAGCATCATGGTCAAATGTCATGGAAAGGAAAAGGGAACTTATAAAGTATTAAACCTACCTGAACAAAACAATCATGAAAATGAAGGCGAATGAGAAGAGCTGCCATGCGACGTTGCCGTGACACTGCAGTCCTAACTGACGTTCTGATGACGGAGAGTGCATTGGGGCATGTGGTATCGTAAAAGGTTGGAGACAACTGAGCTTTGCACCCAATACAGTTCAATGAAAGAATTAAAATGATGATATAAGGATAAATGGTTCGAAGAGAATGATGAGGATCCATTTGGTTGGAGATTCGGATTAAGTAAAGATCAACGGCGTGTGTTTTTGTTAAAGAACTGAAAAGTTGGTTTGTCAGGGAAGTGTCATTGCTTGAATTATATATAGGGCTGGCAAGTGGTTCAGTTGGGTGAAAGGGCAATTAATCTCATTTATTATTTGCTTGTTGACTTAGTCACTTAGACTCAGCCTCGTGTACGTGTGGAGCCATGATACTTATAACTTAGTTGAGTTAAAAATAAATAAAAGATAAAAATTAGAATTCAAAATTTTCATGACCAAGTTGTGCCTTTAACGAAACTAGATTGGGTTATTGCCTTAATGGAACTAGAGGTTTTCAAATCATCCTCCATTTTGAACAGAAAATTGATGTTTTTCCTTAATGTAACAAGAACATTTAATTGATGGATGTAGCATGTAGGAGAATGTCAATTAGGGTGACACTTCAGAGTATCTATGAGAAATTCTTTTTATGGTCGTAATTATTTCATTAATTACTACAAATTAGATGGTAAATAAATAAAAAAAAATGAAGTTTTTTTTTTTTTTGGATAAATGACACAAAAAACATTCTTTTTACACCGAAATTCAATTTTGACACAATGTTTTTTTGTGTCAATTTTGACACTGTGTTATTAATTTTTTACTAAATGTAACAATATGATTAGTTTCCTTCAGGTAAACCGGTTTGAATATTGTTGAGTGAGCCATTTGCTTATGTGGCATACACATAAGATCCTATATGGCAATTGATCATTTATAAATGATCCCTAACGGCTTCCACCCTTTAGAACCCTAGATCGATCTTCACTTTTTCTTCACTTTTTCATCTCAATTATTTTCGAGGATTGTGCAATGGTGTCTTTGTCTCGATCAGCTGGATCAACAAGTGGGGTAAACAAGTCAAACAATGTGCTACTGTGGAGTAATTGCCCCCTTGAAGATATCAACGAGTGAGAAGAATCCTAGAAGAAGATACTTTGGGTGCAGGTACTGGCCCGATGAAGTTGAAGATTGTGGCTACTTTGAATGGTATGACGGTAAAGTAAGTCCATGGTATAAGGAACTTCTATTTGAAGTTATGGCAAAGAAGAAAAAAAGCATTGGACAGGGAAAAGGGAACCCTCATCATGATGAAATAAGTTTGACGGATCTTGTTAGGGTTGTGATTGGTTTGCTTGTTATTTTGGTAGTCATGGTAGGGATTTTGATGTGGATGGTGTACAAGGGTTAAGTAGGAAGAGGTTGTGGTAGGTCTTTCAGGATGAATTAATGCCAATTAAGGTCCAATGTTGACCATTTTTGTGTCTGGATGTATTGATGTACTACCTTTAAGTTTGTATGTTCCAATGTTGACCAATATTGATATATATATATATATATATATATATATATATATATATATATATATATATATGGTGTAGTGTATATGTTTGTGATTGTGAATTGGAAGTCTGATGCTAGTGAACCAAACTACCATTTACTTATGGAATTATGATGGTATATGTTGGAAGTGGACCAAACTACCCTTTACTTATTGAAGAAACCAGTAAGCATAAAAGAAAGGATGGTATATGTTGGAAGTGGACCTAAATACCTTTTACTTATGGAAGTATGATGGTATATGTTAGAAGTGAACCAAACTACCCTTTACTTATTGAACAAACCAGTAAGCAAAAAAGAAAGGACCTAACCTTTACTTATGGAAGTATGATGGTATATTTTAGAAGTGGACCAAACTACCCTTTACTTATTGAACAAACCAGTAAGCAAAAAAGAAAGGACCTAAATACCCTTACCTTAGGTAACAGTTGGGATTATGAAAGATAATAATGCTTGACCATAAACATTATACCAACAATACCCTTTACTTATGTAACAAAAAACACCATAACAAGGATAACATTTACAACAGATAATTGATCATTTTGGCAATATTTACCCATCCCATTTACAAAAGGGGTAGTAATGTTTGGGTATACAATATACAAAAGATAATTACAGTCAAGGGGATTACTTAAGGGTCCATTACATAATACAAAAAAGGATAACACAAACCAAGCCCATCAACCCCTAACCATCTGCACCCTAATCTACTCCAAAGAAACAGGGTCCAACCTACTTCGACCTAGTCCAACAACCTTCTTTCCAACAACCTTCATTCCAGTCTGAATTTTAGTAATTCTCTCTGAAGGCCTCCTTGTTCTCATCAACCTTTGGGATGGTGGTATCTCAACAATGCCTTCATCCTCTGTTTCTGGTACAATGTCAACTTTAGCCAAAACTTCAACATGTGGAACTTCTTCATGCACAGTTTCAAGAACAGATGGAACTTCAGCCAAAACTTCAACATATAAATCTTGTTCATATAGTAGATGATACACCTTATCCTCTGAGTATCCTGATGCAAGCAACTCTGTAGCATGTGCATCCACCTTCAAATCATGTACCAACATAACATCTTGCAGCCCTTCATCTTCAAAATACGTGCTACTACCTTCAGGTATCCCTTTAACAGATTGAGATGCCTTTGCTTTACCCTGTTAATAAAACAGTAATTGTGTTAACAATAGTAGACACTAAAGATTTGACTTTGAAAATCATAAAGCTTACCTTTTTTTGACTGTTACACCTTGCCTGTCCATCCATTTACCCATCCATTTCCTGAGTGTGTTGAATCTTTTGACTTGTGGATGCTGTTGTTTTTTTCATTGCCACATCCCTAGTCACTCGCCTACCCTTTCTTTTCTTTTCATGTTGAGGTTGGGGATTAGTTGGATTCTTGCAGGTTAGTTGGATTCTTGCATGTTGAGGTTGGGGATTAGTTGGATTCTTTTGTTATGCCCTTCCTCCCAATAGTTCTGGCATATCTTTGTACCTCCAACAGACTTTAACTTCCTGTACTCTCCATCCTTCTCTATGACATGTTTCCTTCTTTTGGTTTTAGGTCTTCCTAGCATCCTCCTTGCAGGTGGTCGCAGTGGCTTGGCATATGGTGTCCTGGCCCACATTCTACTACCATTTAGAGGCCTGATATTTCCTTTGTAAGTCTCTGCAAACTTTTCTTTGAAAAACCATGAGCTGATCAATGTTTTAGGTTGTTGTTGTGTGTGGTTCATAGCTGCACATGCATGGATACATGGAATCCCAGATATTTCCCATAATCTACAAGTGCAGAATTGTTCTCCTAAGTCCACCTGAAAAGACTCAAATCCTAGTCTCACTTCAAATACATTTGTGTCACTAGCTACAACACTCCACAACCTATTATTCAAGCAATACATGTTAGTGAATAATCTTAATGAATACTGAATAATTTTAGTCAATAATGTTACCTCATATCTGTACACCAGTCATCCAACTTTGTCAATATTGTAGGGCATACATCTCCCTTCCATGTTAAGTGTATTGTAGACATCCTATAAAACCTCTCCATAACATACATTCTGAGCTCCTCCAACATAGTAAGTAGTGGCTTAGTCCTTGCCTCCAAAATTACTGAATTGAAGCCCTCTGATATACCATTTTCTACTGCTTCACATGCTCTACCTTCCTTATAAAATGCTCTGCTCCAACTCTCTAGGTTCCTTGCCATGAGATGGTTATAAGCACCCCCATTCATTTCTTTGAGTTCCTCCATTGTCTCAAGAAAAGATGACTATGTTGTTGACGTTGAAGCTGCCCAAAAATGTCTCTTGTAATCAATCCCATTGTACACCTTTTTAAAGTTGACATACACATGTATGGCACACTGCCTATGCTCAACTAATGGTAAATTCTCCTTTACAACCTCTACTAAGCCCTACATTCATACAAAAAACAATTAAGATACAAAAAAGACTAACCATATATAAAAGAGTAAACAAACAAAAAAGAATAAACATACCTTATGTTGATCAGAAATAACTGTCAACCCTTCACCTAACTCTAAGCCAAGGTCTTTCATAAGCAAATTAATAAACCACTCCCAGTTGTCCTTGTTTTCAACATCAACCACAACCCAGGCTATTGGATATACCTGGTTGTTCCCATCCCTACCTATTGCAGTGAGTAACTCCCCTTTGCATTGCCCTTTTAGAAAACAACCATCTAGTCCAATGACTCTCTTGCAACCCCTCATCTGTGACATCCCCAAAATCACGGCCAGAAAAGACCGATTTTGTTTATGCTTTATAAAAATCAGAGTACTTCATTTTATAAAAAGGTTGCGAAATTTGTTCCCAGAAAAACACGATAAATACGTTATTAAAACATTTTCGAAGAAACGTATTTTTATTCATCTTAAAACGTTTGGGATGTCATCGTTAATACATAAACATAATCATAAACAGAACTTACAATTATTTACACTAGTGATCTACATCTCTTTAAATCTCTCAATGTAATGTCACTTCATATCACCACCTGTGATGTAAATAAACTGAGTGGGTTAGGTTGGGAAACCTGGTGAGTACATAGGGTTTTCAACCCACAATAATATAATTGTTATGTTCAATCATCAAACAATTAACCCAATTACCCATCCCCGTTATCTTCTTTACTCCTAAGAGTCATCTATTCTGCATTCGTTATTCCAAATTCCCTTACTTCCAGGGTTATAGGACTAGCACTAAATCCATAGCTGCCGATATTCGTTCGTAAAGCACTAATTCCATAGCTGCTATAGTCTATTCATCGGGTACTAAATCCATAGCTACCAGTGCTCAACAGGTACTAAGTCCATAGCTACCAATTCCTACAGGTACTAAATCCATAGCTACCAGTGTCTAACTAATAGGTACTAAGTCCATAGCTACCAATTCCCAACAGGTACTAAATCCATAGCTACCAACGTCTAACAGGTACTAAGTCCATAGCTACCGGTGTTTGTCCCATAGGCACTAAGTCTATAGCTGCCAATGTATACTCACGTCATCTTCTATCTCTCATCATTCATCTACCCATCATCATACCCAACATATTCGTGTATATAAAATACGTATACAGTTTAAATCCTTTAAAACATGTATAAAACGTTCATCCAGTATAGACAGCAAGTATTCAGATAATATGCACACATAGCACGTAGTTTATATAAAATACTTGATATCTATGTGTAAGATGAAAGGGACTATGCACTCACAACACGTAAATTATATAATAAATACTTCATATCTATGTGTAAGATGAAAGGGACCATGCACTCACAACACGTAAATTATATAATAAATACTTCATATCTATGTGTAAGATGAAAGGGACCATGCACTCACTTGATTAGGTGGTGATTCCGAACTCAGACAGCACTTCGTTATCTCAAAACAATTTTCCTCTACAAAACCTAGTATCAATACCACTATGGTTTAGTTTTTAACGTTAACCACGACTAATTAATAGTCTAGCTATTATTACTATTATATAAGCGTTAAATAACACTCAATATAACTCATAATAATAGCCCAAATAATTATTTTAAGGTCCTAATAATGTTACTATAATTAAATAAAATCTATATTAAATATAGTATAGGCGTAGCTCACTTACAACGAGTTTTTATTAAAAACCGGGCTTCGCTGGAGCAGCGTTTCCAAGCCGAAAGCTTTTCTTCTCGGAGCCGTCGGGCGCTCCGGAGCTTTCTTCTCGTGCTAGGGAGGTTCCGTAGACTTGGGAGGGGTTTAGGGAGGCTAGAGAGAAGTTAGAGAGAGAAAGAGAGGCTTATGGTGTGAAGAAAATATGAGGAGTTCACCCTTGTATTTATAGGAAGTGTATAGTAAAGTAGTCACCAAGCTTCGTCCGTAACTTTTGCATACGAGCTCCGTTTTTGTCTATCTTTTTACCGTTGAGTTCCTATTAATGAGATCTTCAACTTTCATTTAGACCTCGTTGGCTAATTCTCATTCTATCTCGGATTTACAAAACTGTATCGAATTCGCCGCGCTCGAAAAGTAGGGACTAAGCTTCGTCCATAACTTTCGCATACGAGCTCTATTATCGACGTTCTTTATATCCACGTGTTGGTATTTACGAGTACTACAACTTTTATTTAGATCCCGTCAGCTAAAAATCGACCGATCTAAAATTCAGATTTCGGGCTATGCACTACGATGCTAAATCTTAGAAAAATCATAATTTCCTCATACGAAGTCAGATTTGGGCGTTCTTTTTATCGACGTTCTTAGTTTAACATATTCTACGACTTTCGTTTAGATTGCTAAGGCTAAATCTCGCTCTATCGTAAATTCACTATTTACGCTTCCCGGTATCGTGCTGGTTCCGTCGCGAAACTTCAACGGGTCATAACTTCTTCGTTATAACTCGGATTTCGGCGTTCTTTATATGTATGAAAACCTTGTAACATACTCTACAACTTGGTTAAGATTATTTATTCTAAATATTCTTTTGTCGAAAAGTCGTTTTCGACCGCTATTGCCTCTAATTTGACTAGCCCGGATTTGCGGGCGTTACAATTATCTCTCCCTTAGGATGATTACGTCCCGGAATCATCAACGAAACAAGGATCGTATAATGACTCCATACGTCATCTCTTCATCCTAGGTAATAATTATAACTTCTTTATTCCTTCAAGTCTATCTCTTAGACTTATTGATAGTAAGCAATACTTGATCGTGCACCTGCTCTCTACCTCAGATTAGACTCCAAATTATGGCCTATCATCATGTGATGCACATTTAGACTCAGGTCTCTTAAATTCTAAAACAGACTAAGCCTTCCTTCATGTTCTAATGTGATATAATCATACTTTAACATGTAGCATTTCTAGCTACCAACGAGCGCGATACTTCTATTGATCGCTTTGATTTTAATCGTTTGGTTTAAGTTGGACGCTATATCAAACTTGGTTCTCTGAACCACACAACATACTCATCATAGTCGGACTCGATTTGATATGACCACTAGGGTCGGAATATCAACAATCTTCTTAGTCATTACCGAAACAATGGTAACAACACACTTGAATAAAACGAAATCAATTACTAGCTTCTTGGTAACCTTGTGACTTTCCCTGATCCAAGTGTGAGTCCTGTGCTTCCGGTAGTATAGGCCTCTACTACCATTCACACCTACTCATACTCATCCCAAGTATTGTCTCGCAGTTTCCCAAGTCACCATGCAACAAATCACACAACAATTTCACACACCAGATAACAAAACGAAGATTTTATTATTTCTCGAAACTATTACATAGGTGTTCAAGTTCACCCTAGACTATGCCTCTACTAGGCTACATCATACGAAACTATGGCTACTGCATAATCCGATCTTCGGGTAAGAAGTCCTCATTCTTGATTCCTCGCATGGTTCTCTGCTTCGTCGAGGATCATGTGAAATGCCCTTGGCCTTGGTGGCGTTTCTGGTCTTGCTGCTTTATTTTTCCTTGGGCAGTCTCTGGACATGTGCCCCTTGCCTCCACATCCGTAGCATACTTTGTCATTATGTGTGCAGTCTTTGGAATAGTGACCCATCCTCCCACACTTGTAACAAGTCACTTCTTCGTTGCACTTCCCACCATGCTTCTTCTTGCATTTATCACACCATCTTGTTTCACCTCCATCTGCTCCTCCAAGTTTTGAGCATTTTCTTTCCTTGTTCGACCTCGAAGATCCCTCAAACTTTCGCTTCTCTCCTGCCTTATCTTTTTCTAGACCCTTTTCTCTTATCTAGGCCTCTACGTTCTTAGCTGCCCTAACAACTGCTTTCAAGGTAGTTTCCATTTTGACCATTGGACCAAAGTCAGTGGGCAGTCCATTAGCAAACCTATCAATCTTGGAGAGTTCAGTAGGCACCAAGTAGGGAAATAGCTTCATCCTCTCGGTAAATGCGGTGGCATACTCATCAACACTCATCTTCCCTTTCTTTAGGTTCTGAAACTCGTTGTTTAGGTCTATCAGATCTATCTCCGAGCAGTATTGCATTTTCAACTGTTCCAAAAACTCTTCCCACGACATCCTTAAGGCTTCTCCTCGTGGCATCGTATCTGCCAATAGCTTCCACCAGCTCAAGAATCCAGTTTTCAGTTGTCTTACTGCGAAGACAGTCTTTTGTTTCTCGTTACAGCTGTAGCTCTCAAACACCATCTCCATCTCAGAGATCCAATCCATAATCTCAACCGGCTTCGGGCTTCCTGAGAGGCTTGGTGGTTTCGCACCCAAGAAATTCTTGTACATCCTCCCATCCTTGTTGTTTCTCCCTTCTGGGCCATCCCTTTGCTCACCTTGAGTCCCTACTCGACTCACTTGGCGGCTGTAGTTCCCTTCCTCAGATTGCTCGGGAACTGGCTCCGTCGGTTCAACATGTACGGTAGGTTCGTCCCTATTCAACATCTGTCTCATTTCTTCCCTTTGTTCAGCTAACATAGCCCGAATCATGGCTTGAACTCCAGCCATGGTGACTGGCTCAGGCGCAACTTCTTCAACAACAGTTATTTGCTGAACCACTGGGGTTGGTTCCTGTTCCCATTTGCGTTTACGTTTCCGCTACGGGTCCTTACCATCTCGATCTATACACCGAATAAGGTGAATTTAGACCTTTACTTGACGTTTAAATCATCCTTATCGCTCCGAAACGTTTACATGCTAGTTCTAATACCGTAGTCGTACGTTTAGAATCCTAAACACATAAGGTTTCCAGATCCGGTCGGCAACAGACCATAGATCCGAACAATTAACAACATATCATGCACAAAGCATTTAGCACATAAAAGCAATTTAGGCATCATTCCTAAAATAAGCTAGTGCTCACACCTCACAATCATCGCTTAGCATTCTAAGTTTAAGTCTAGAAATAAATCCATATTCCTAGTTCGCTTAAACTAATGCTCTGATACCAACTGTGACATCTCCAAAATCACGGCCAGAAAAGACCGATTTTGTTTATGCTTTATAAAAATCAGAGTACTTCATTTTATAAAAAGGTTGCGGAATTTGTTCCCAGAAAAACACGATAAATACGTTATTAAAACATTTTCGAAGAAACGTATTTTTATTCATCTTAAAACGTTTGGGATGTCATCGTTAATACAGAAACATAAGCATAAACAGAACTTACAATTATTTACACTAGTGATCTACATCTCTTTAAATCTCTCAATGTAATGTCACTTCATATCGCCACCTGTGATGT